TTGTTCCCTGATGGGCAGGAATGATTGAACTGCTGAATTTTAACACTGAACACAAAACTACTTCTCAATACTTCCCTCTCTGCCATAAACAGTCCTCATTATACCAATAGACAGGGGGTCTGATTGCATTTATTGGTGTGTTACTGATGTGTCCTGTCTTAGGAGTGCTTCCTCTTGGCATAGCATGGTACTCTATGCCTAACAATACCTGCTGCCATGAGAGAAAATACAACACAAATGAAATCAGAAGAGATGCTCTGAGGCTGATCCAGCAAAAACCCATCTTACAAAAATACATTTTGCTGTCCTGATCTCAAACTTGAAGATACAAAGCTTTGAGATGAAGATGCTCTTTACATCCCTAGGATGGATGGCATTAAAGGGCATTCCTCTGCTCCTCCAAGCACTCATAGTGACTGCAACTGCAAATTTTATCACTCCTACTGCACTGCAAAGAAGCAGAGATAGGCCTACAGGGATGGTGTAGTAAACAGAATACTGAAAAAAAGTAAAGAAAAAACAAAAACTAAAGACAGACTGTATAAAATCAGCTGCCTCAATCTCATTCTTATTGGTCAGGATGAGGAAAACATTTATCCACATAATAAGCCAGTAAATGAATTAGGCAAAGAAAATTGTGATTGCAAACGAGAAAAAATAAACAAATTAAGACAATATTTTCCAGTTTTCTATAATGATTAATTCAATTTAAATTCAAAAAGAGACATCTACATATTTAGAAAATAGATATTTGGAGCCTGATTATTGCTTTTCCATATGTACTGCAGTCATGCAGTAGACATGTTGGCCAATATGTTGGTTTTTTTTTAACTGCACATTGAGGACTAAATGCTGATTGCATTAAGAGTGGAACTCCTTCCTCAGTATACTTTTAAAAAGTTTATAATGTTTCAAAATGGTTATATTAGCAAGAAAGGAATGCATTAGTGGTTGACAAGGAACTTCCTGAGGGCTGGAGCACCTCACCTACAGGCTGAGGGAGCTGGGCTTGTTCAGCCTCAAGAAGAGAAGGCTGCGGGGTGACTTCATGGCAGCCTTCAGTACCTAAAGGGAGCCTACAAACAGGAGGGGAGTCAACTTTTTGGAAGGGTAGATAATGGCAGGACAAGGGGAAATGGTTTTATGTTGAGGGAGGGAAGATTTAGGTTGGATATCCGGGAAGTTCTTTACAGAGAGAGTGGTGAGATGCTGGAACAGGCTGCCCAGAGAGGTTGTTCAAGGCCAGGGTGGATGGGGTCCTGGGCAGCCTGGTCTAGTGTTAGATATGGAGGTTGGTGGCCCTACATGTGGCAGGGGAGTTGGAGCTTGATAATCCTTGAGGTCCCTTCCAACCCAGACCATTCTGTGATTCTATGATTCCTGGATGAAATGTGAAATGCTGAAATGTGTTTTAGAAGCAGAGGAGACACATTCTGCTGCAATGACTTCCGCCAAGAAAAGCGCACAAAATAGTTAAGTCATCTTTCTTTGGATAAATACATGGTCAAGTTGCTACTGAGAAGCATTTTTTCCAAATGTGCATGTAGCATCTTACTAAAAATCTGGCATCTTTCTTTTTTTTCCTATTAAAAATGCCCTAGACTTGGGATTCCAACAGTCTCAATTGTCATTGTAGGTAATTGTGCACTCATCCAAATGAGTCACAAACTACAGATGACACGGAAAGTCCACACAGGCTAAGAAATCCTGACACTGGACAAAGATATTGTTAAAGGAGGAACCTCCTTTAGCTTGCTATTGTGGTACTGTGCTTTTCAGATGTTTACTGATACAAATAAAAAAAAACAAAAAACAATAACAAAAGAACAGCAAAATGAGCAGCTGCAGTGTTGCTCCAATATGAGCAACGTGACCCAAAATCTCCTGGGCTATTTTCCTGAGGTGTCAGCAAACAAACGTAAAGACATAAGGCCTCAGGAGTTTCTTCACGTCTTCCATAGATGCTCTACCCTCTCTCTGCCAGACGAAACCGCCCCAAGGGACCATTGACATACTTACAACAAGGGGCTCATCAGGCAGAAGTCAGGGCTCAGAGCTCTCCTGAACAGCTGGTCTCTCTGCACGCACTTAGACAGCAGCTGACGGTGTCACCGCAGCTTGGGAAAGTGATTGAGAAAAGTGCTCTTTGTTTTCCAAGATTCATAAACTGATCTGTCCTATGGAAGGAATGGCCAAATTCATGTCTGATTTGTTTTGAAAACACAAGCGCTTTTTAGTCTTTCTGAGAAGAACCATTGATTCAGCATCATTAATGCGAAATAGGGAAAAAAAGAAAATTTTAATGACAGTGATCATAAAGATCATTAGTGACCATAGATACTGCAGGCATAATTTCATTCCTTTAGCTCATTGAATAGTGACCTTCAGATTTCTCATTGTGGCTGCACTTGATAAAGTTAAAAAAGCCTATCCTGGTATCGTGGAAATTGGGCTTAAATCACATCCAATGGGTAACTGGTGGTGCTTCTTTTGGTTTCTTTCTGATTCAACACAGAAAAAAAAATAGTTTGATGATTGGTTAAACGGAAGTTCTGGCTAGTCATTACTAAACTTGAGATTTTATTCATTTATGTGTCCTCTGCCAATTCAGAGTATATTGTAACCACTTCCCTAACTCTTTTTCTTCCTTTTATTTTCTCTGAACTGTCATGTAGAGCTGTTATGCATTAAAAGCCAGCTGTTCTCTCTCTCCCTAAAGTATGCAAGACAGTTTTATATGAAACAGTTTGTTGAGGTAGCTGAAACTTTAAATCTACTTGTATTTTAAAATCCATTTGCACTGCAACTCAGAATAGAAAAGATGTTCATCATAGACATGGAAATTCTGAAAATGCTCTGTTTTCTTAAATTTTCTAAATCTAAATGTGAATTCTGCTACACAATATTTGGGATCAATACATATTAAGAACAATTTATAATGATTGTAAAGTAAACTTGCTCCCATATAACTCAGGCAGACTTCGCTAGTTCTGGAGAGTAACTCATGCTTTAAACTTAATAATTAGTTTCCCAACCAATGAGAAAAAGTACAGCGTTATATTTTTCCTAGGGCTTTCATTAAGATCTGTAGGTTCACTTCCCTCAAGACATGGATCTCTTAACAGAAGATTAAATCCAGTTTCCTGATGGAATTTTATTGTTAGAATATTTTGGGTCTCTGACTATCTACTTAAAGTATTTAAATTAAAATGTGTCTAGATTTAGTCAACTGTTGATAAGATTTGTGACTTCTAGTAGCTGAGAATATTTAAGCACATATGAACCAAATTTTATTATATTACAAATTGCCATGAGGGATCACATTTTAAACCAGACTTATGCAGAGTAAAACTAGAGTAATGCAAATAAAATTATTGTAGCTACTATAGATTTAAATCAGCAGGACAGATCACTGTCTGCATCTGTAAGCAGTGTCTCTTATGTAAGGAGGTATAAAAGCATATATAGAATTAATATGTGCGCATACATATTATATAAAATGACCCCTTCATATATTATATAAAAAGGTATCTTCCTCACTTAAGCAGTGGTCCAACACTCTAGTATGTATGCAAGAGCAGAAAACCATTTAATGGACACTTCTCCTAGCATTCAATAGTATAGAGCTCATGACAGATTCAAGTTTTTCCATCCACAGTGTCATGCTGGAAGGAGTTCCTCAGCCCAAGTACACTTTGTGTGAAGAACTGTCTCAGTATTTGTTTTGAATCAATCCCTGCTATTTCATCTGATAGCACAATTAAGAAAGAAGACATATTAAAAAGCAATGAATTCATCCTGAGATGGAAGAATGGCCATACCAATAGCGAGGAGCTCTTGTAAAATGAAACAATAACCAAAATATATCAATTCTTTTTTCTTTCTTTATTGTTTTTACCAGAAGATCATTCAGATTAGAAAATCTCTGCTTAAACTGCCAGAAATGATTGCAGTGAGCCCCAGCATAATGCACTATCTACTAGGTATATGAAGGTGATAGGACGGAGGCTGGGACACGGGAGGTTGCTTAACCAAAAGTTGCCCTCACCTTTATAGCTTTCTGCCTCAGAGGCCCTAACTGCAGTCAGCAGGAATGTCCCACTCTTGGGTTCTGGGTTCAGCTGTTAGAAACCCTGCTAGTGGTAGCAGACACACACACCTGGATGACCAGAGCCCTCTGGGTGGCAGAGATTCTGTGAACATGACAACTACTGCAAATAATGGCCAACCAATCTTAAAAGGCACCTGGAAATGCTTTTCATCAGATAGAGATTATGGGTAAAACAACTGAGTCATTTTCCTATGGTACTGAAAAAGGAAAGAGGAAAAGAAGAAGGAAAATACGCTCTTAAAGCATATTTCTTCACAAAATGTATTTCAGAGATGGCATGAAGTTGACTTTATGTATCACCTGTCTTGGAAAGCTTTCATCTTTTCTCTATCATAGACCAACTTTTAGGGGTGGATCCAGAGCAAAAACCATTAGTAGCCCTTTTTTGTTCTTGTCTGTGCTTTATCTCTATCCAGGCTATCATACTGGATATATCTCTATCTGCTTTATCTCTATCCAGGCTATCATACCCCTCAAGAGGGTTTGGTTCCAACATCTCTATGCATGCACTTTGGAACATCTCAGTAGGATGCTGGATCCCCCTTCCTACTTTGCTTGTCATTATATTGTCTTCAATACCCTTTCTGCACTTCTAATTTAGTGGATTTAAGATTCATTCATTAGTATTTCCTAAGTCCATATGAAAAAAGAAATACAGCAAAGGCAGCAGAGAAAACAACAAAAAGTTGTTTAGTTTGAAACAGAACCTCAGTATATGTTTAAGGATTCACTAAGGATGCTATTTCCAAGCTCAAATACTCCTTAAAGGAAATAATTTTCCTATGCCAGACCCGAACCTGCAAGCCAAGATAAATCTTTCTCAGCACTTCCCGGTTCCTGAATTGTCTCCGCATCATCTCACAGAGTATAAGATTTTTAAGGGTTTCACCTGTGGAAACAGTCATCAGATCAACGTTTGACTGAGACTGCAATGATTATGACGACGAACAGCAGAACGGCCACAGCAGCAGAGAGGAGGCAGCACTTCATCTTCCTGGCTCGTAGCTGAAAGAAGAGAAAGAAATAAATGCATGGACATTGGAATAGGAAGATGGAGAGTATATTCAAGAATAAATTTCGCTATTTTTCCATCAATGAGACTATCTGAAACAAAACAACGTGGTACAACATGGAGAACTTGCGTCTTTGTTCATAATGATCCATTACTCTGAACGACCTCTTTTCTCCCTTTTCAAGGGAAATCTCCTTAAATATAATCACCTTCCTGATAAAACAATTGCACCTGTCCAGAGTTCTCTATCTTCTAACTGAAACATCAATCTAATTTGGAAGACTATGTTGATATTACTGATATTACCTACTTTTCACACCTTTCCCTAAGTGGTGTAATGAGCCTGAACAGTGGTTAGAAATTCTATGTTAAATGGTTTACACCTCTCTGTACTGCTATTACCCATAGAGTTCTACTTCTCTAGCTATTTTGTTCCATAGAAGTTTTGGCCTCTTACACAAGTGCCTGGAAGTGCCAGGGAACTCCTCCATCCACTTAGTTCTCCATTTGCTTTACAGTTATTCACACCAAAATGTTTTCTTTGGGTCTGGAAAAAAATTAGACACTTTCAGTAAGAGGATCTTTTTGTCAGGTATGCAAGGCAGGAAATCATTCTTCCCCTTCCCCAAAAACTCTGCTTAGTGGCAACCCTTTGCTCATACCTTTAAATGAGTTTACAATGACTCCTAGGGGAAGTACATGGTTGTACCATGGCTGCCTCTTTCTTTAATGAATTTTTTCACCCATTAAGTGTTTCTTATACACTTGCAGCCTTCATTTCTAGAAGGATAACTGGATTCTGAAAGCTGAATGCATGAGACAATAGTTTTGCTACAGAATCCTCTTTTCTTTTAACCTCAGTTAATTCCAAAGCAAACTAGAAAATCTCTGCTTAAAACTGAAGACTATCTTAAAACATCTAGATGTCCTTGTCCACTTCAGCGATGTCAGAGCCTTTCCTCTGTCAGCAGAGGATGCTAATAGGTCATTAAGCGATTTAGCATCTAGCAGTGGTCTAATATTCCTAATGAGAATTTCAAAGGCTGTATGGTGGCTTTTATTTCGGACCCTTTGCAGAGAGGTTCCTTTATTTTGATCTATCACTGCAAATTTATATTCACTGTTATTTTTGCCCTACATAGATTTTTTTTTTTTTTTTTTTTTAAAGAGTGTAAAGCAACCATCACACTCAACCATAGACAGATTCATTGGAGGGTAAGAGAGAAAGGGCCAAGCCTGTATTCTGATATTTAGTTTAACATCTTATGACCTTGCCCTGGCTGGCAAGTCAGGATAATGATTCCTATTCTGTTAACATCTCTTATGAGATTCAGTAACACTGTCCTTTTTATAGCCCCCATGCACTTAACCAGCCCTGTCTTATGAAGAGGACAATCCTGTATGTTGGTGAGGTGATGGATGCAACACTTGCTTGTAGGTATCCTTTGGGAGCTACTAGGGAGTCTATAGCCTTAGATTGATTGCATAGCTCTTGCAAGCTTTTCAGTGCCCTAATTAGTGAAGAAAGACATTAGCACGCAGCAGGTAGGGCAAATTGTTCTCATCACCAGATAGGATCTACAGACCATAGTATAGGGACCTTGAAGAATATGCAATAATAAACAGCATACATTATAATAGTAAACACAGCAAACTCTGGTAATTATCCCCAGTTGAGGTTAACAGAGAGTGACTGCTAAACTGAGATTATAAACAATGTTTTGTCATTGTGGAGAGAAGTTGGGAAACAAATAATGCAGTCCTGTGACTCTTAATAGCCCCAGGACATCATGGCACATTGAAAACACATCACCATCAGAAATTTAAGGACTAAACAACTTGCATATGCTATGATTTAGTTTTCCCAGGTATGCATGTACAGTTAATGAAAAAATATTTTTCCCCAGCAGGATCTCTTTCAGTAAATGGGTAATTATTGCACTATGCACATACTATATTTACATATATTTTACTTATAGATATTCTTAGTACATCCATCAAAGCCATTCTCACACAAGACCAGAAAAAACTTTAAACCTTTCACTTAACACCAAGGTCCTAATATTTCTACAGAAGTTTCAAGACAATAAAGAGTATCTTCCATTCCAAACATCAGTGTGCTTATGGGTTCATTTTAAGGTAAGGAAGTGGAGACAGAAACCATAGCTGGTAGCCTGGCTGATCTCAGGAATGTTCAAATTCCCCAAATAGTAAAAAATAATAATAATAAAAGCATGATGTAGTTTATTGAATCAGGGTTAATCCACATGATAAACCATTTCCAAATCTGCAACAGGATCATTTCTCCCAAGGGCAAGATTCTGTAAAATGATTCATTTATTTTAGGACATAATTCTTCAGGGAACTTTGCTTTTTCATAACATATCCCATGCCTCCAACTAGTCTTCAGCTGATTTCACTCATCTTTTTCAAGCCCTTTCTCCCCTCAGCTACTGGAGATCTTTCTTTTACACTGTCCACATTAATGTTACTGCTTATTTTCCTTGACTTTTCTGGGCTCTGCACAGGAAGCCTTACAGGCCTTTGACCTCCTCTCAGTTCCCATAGCCCAGTGCAACTCTCTCCCACAGCTGCAGGACTGTATGATAATTCTGTCAAGCTTCTTCTACTGTCAAGGAACACATACTGAAGTAATGGCATGCCTAGGAACAGTAACACAGCACAGGTACTGACAGCTGAGGTATACTCTTGGTACAAACTGAATCTTGAGAGTGCTTCTCCCCCTCTCAGTTTCCAAGAAGTATTAAGGAAAATTGAGAGAACACCATTAAAAAAAAATTTTTTTTCCATAGACTTTAAGGTTTTTTTTTGCCAAATTCTCATAAAGATGGAAAAAAAAAGGCATGTCTCCTTTATCCATTTCTTTTCTGTTAAATTGTAAAGCTCTGTCCACATATATGCTGCACAAGAATATAACAAAACCTCCTAAAATACGTTTGTCCTACGGAAATATATTTCCCAAAACTCCATTTTAGAAAACACTGACTACCTCTAACTATTAATTAGAGTATGTATCTGTATCTCTAAATATAAGAGATACAGAAAACCTGACCCACAAAATTTCAGGCCAAATTTTAGACAAGTTTAAAGCAACTAGAAAGAATAATTTTCTGGTAGAAGATGTATGACAAAAAAATATAAGCAGTCTTACCTGATTTTATTTTAATTATGTTAGTTTATCCTTAACCCCAAATGATGTGCTGTTGCATTGCTCTGGTATTACAGCTCTGTCCCAGTCTGTTTTAAGACCATTTCCCATAACACAAGGAACTTGTTGATTAAATTTGAGCTAATCTATTTTCCTTGTAAACGTTTGTCCAAGATGAAAAGAATATACTGTGGGTCCAAAAAAAAAAACCACCATCAAAAATAGGAGCAGCCCAAATCCTGAAGTAAGAAGTAATGGCTCTCTACAAGTTATTCTGCTAAGCTCTCAGGGCTTTTTAGTAACACATTATTAGTAAAGATATATTTTAGTCTTGACAAAAGCTCTTTAAGCACACATATGAAATAGTGAGGAGCGAAGAGCAGAAAAGGAATGAGCAAGGCTATTTCGGGACACAGCTGAGGAGCGCTTTACATTGACAGGAGAAGTGGATATGACTGAGCCTGGAAGAAATCCTTCCATCACCATTTCATAAAAGAAGCTGTAGGTCATGTTCTACAGCCTAGAAGGTATTTCTTTCTTGGGGGTGAAATGTTAAGAGACATTCTAATTATGTCACAACAGACAGTTAAATCATTAACAACTATTAAAGCCCAATACTGCCCTAGGCCCAAAAAAAGAAGATTCGTTTTGGAAATTCCTAAGTAAATAGAGTTACAAGGAGAAAAAAAAAAAAAAAAAAGTCTTTGCTAGAGAATCAAATGCTGGCAAGAGCAAAGCATAAATAAGAGGAGAGTGGTCCAAAACTGCTTTTCCTGTATGATTCAGATATGGAAAAGCAGCACTGTGGTCCTCTGCTATCTATGGATTGCTTCCACCATACACTGCAATTCAGGGAGGCAGAGAATTCCCAGCTGGCCTTCGTAAAGAAAACAAATATAAGAAGGACATAAAGCTATTATAGAGTGTCCAAAGCAGGGATACGAGGATCACAGAATCACAGAATTGTAGGGCTGAAAGGAACCTCTAGCAGTCACCTAGTCCAACTGCCCTGCCAAAGCAGGTTCCCTAGATTAGGTTGCACAAGTAGGTGTCTTGGCAGGTCTTAAATATCTCCAGAGAAGGAGACTCCACAACCTCTCTGGACAGCCTGTCCCAGTGCTCTGCCACCCTTACTGTGAAGAAGTTCTTAAACACCTTTGTATTATGCTTCAGTTTGTGGCCATTTCCTCTTGTCCTGTCATCACGCACTGCTGAAAAGAGTCTGGCCTGGTCCCTTTGCCTCCTGCACCTTAGATATTTATAGACATGATGGGGAATGGTGTGGAGAGCAAGGTATATGAGGAAGGTCTTGCTAGGTTCAGCACAGAGCAGAGCAGACTGAGAGGAGGTTGTTCCTACAGCTTCATGGTTGTGGCATTTTCTAGGTCATCTTCAGGACAAAAGCCCTGGGCAGGTTGCTGTCATTAGCCAAACTAATCTTGCAAATATCACACCTCCCTGTTATGTCCCCCTCTGTTCACTGGCTTTAGATGAGGACAGGGATGAGGACAGCAGAGAAAGAGCAATGCTCAAGATTGCTCAGCATTGCTCTATAATTCTGCAACTCCCTCTATAATGAGGGGAAGTTGTAGTGAGGTGGGTGTTGGCCTCTTCTCTTGTATAACTAGTGATAGGATGAGAAGGAATGGCCTCGAGTTGTGCCAGAGGAGATTCAGAATGGACATTAGGAAATACTATTCCGAAAGAGCGGTCAGGCACTGGAATGTGCTGCCCAAGGAGGTGGTGGAGTCACCGATCCTGGAGATGTTCAAGGGACATTTAAATGTTGTGTTGAGGCACATGGTTTAGTGAGGACTAGTGGTGATACACACAGGTTGGACTGGATGATCTTGATCTTTTCCAACCTTGGTGATTCTGTGATTATATAATCTAAGACCCAACAGCACATCTTCCTCCCTCCAGCAATGTAAAATAGTGAAAGTACTGACACACCCCAGGCTTTTCAGCTAGGTTGCATGGGCAAGAATCTGATTTGTGGGAAAGTTCTATCTTTCAGTCTTCATTTCTAAGGTCATTATGGTAAGTGACCAAAAAGCCATCCTGTACTCAGTGTAAAAGGACTCAGTAGGGTTATCCTGAGGAATGCTTTTTAAATAGTGCACAAATAATGAAGCATCTTCTAACAGAACAAGGATGACAAGAACTTGTGGAAGTACAATTCCACGAATCATGCAATGAAATATGTCTGTTACAGAGATCTATCTCCTGCAAGCTCATCTTGGCGGGAGGGATTAAAAAACAACCAACCAAACAGACAAAACAACAACAACAAAAACCCCTCAAAAATAAAACAAAAAAGATCCGCATAATAACAGTCTTCAATTGTTGGGTTAGGTCTTTTTAATGGTCTCTATCAG